GCCCGCAGCTGTTTGCGTAGATGGTTTGGCTGTTGGCAACAGTGATCTCCACTTCGTTGAAGAGCCGCTCACTGTTGAGGATGAAGACGTCTGACGACACCATGTGTTGTCCGCAGCAGCTGTCCAGGTACCAGGTGTTGATTTCTTTTCTTGCCTTGGCGAGGTTGGCGAGCCTTGGAGTGATGTGATGCTCCATGTCGTGCTCGTGTTCGTAATCATATGTATAATCCTCGTCTTTGTATGCCTCGCGTGCAGGTGGTGACTCCTGGATCCAAGGCGGCATTTCCCAGTCATACTCCATGCGTCCGACTGTCAGCTCATCGTATGTCGGGTCGTTTTCTTCTTCGTCTTCGACCGACCCTTCAGGACGCTCTTGCGGCGGATCTGCGAACATGTCTTCCCAGCTGCGGAAGAAGCGGTAGTGTCGGTTAGGACAAGGTGGACCTCGTCGTACCATGCAAGTTAACACCTTGCTTTTGCCTTTGTTGGCTGTGTTCGCAGAGACGCGCGCCGGAGCTTGGGATGTGCTTGCGACGGCTGGCGGTGACACTGTCTGGTTGCGGACTGGAGTTCTTCCTTGCTGGTGAGTGGCGGCTCCCTTCTGGTTGTTGTTGTTGCCATTCAGCTTCCAGCATTCTTGAATTGTGTGCCCCGTCTTCTTGCAGTACTTGCAGAAGAGTCTCTTCTTATCCAGTGGCGCTTGTGCGTAGAAAGCGATCTTCTCCTTCTTGTTGCCTCTTTCGTTGTACAGGTCCATTTCCTTCTGTTCGGAAAGAAGCGTCGAGCAGAGGGCAGTTTCGCTGACGGTCCCTTGAGTGCGAAGGAGTGACTTGCACTGGCGCCAATCCGGGCTCAATCCAGCGAGGATGATCGTGACGAACATGTCGTCAGGGAAGTTTCCGCCGCTTTTCCTGAATTGGTCTCTCAGGTTTCTGCAGCGGTTGATGTAGGATCCGGCCTTTTCGCCGGGAAACATCTTGACATTGTTCAGCTGGTTGAGCAGGCGACTGAGTGTCACTGAGTCTGTTGCCATGTGGCAGGTGCGCAGGTGTTCCCAGGACTGCTGCGCGGGTGCCCATTCGTTCTTGAATGGGCGGATGCTCAGCTGTTCTTCAGGCGACAAGTTCCGGATCAAGACGGTGAAGGCCAGGAGAGATTCGTTGTAGTACTGCGTCTTCTCCTGAGGTGAGCCGTTGGTTGGGAAGGGGTACGAACCGTCGTAATACATCCAGATCTGGGCGCCTTGAGCTAGTAGCTCGAATTCAAAGCTCCAGGTGTAGAAATCTTGTCCGTCGAACGGCTTTGTTGTCCTGAGCTTTGACGTTGACAGGAACTTGTTTTGCATCGACGCCATTTGTCTCGAAATGTGCCTGTTGTGTTTGAGCAAGTCCTGGAGTTCTGTGATTGTCGAAGGTGAAGGATCATTCAAATCCAGCTCCTTGAGGATCGGGAGGTCTTCGGGCGTAGCTGGAGCCGTCAATGCTCATTGGCTGATGGCTCTCCAGTGCGCTGATGCGGGAAATCAGCTGCTCGAGGAGTGTTGTGTCCACGGTCGTTGTAGTATAGGTAGCATTAGTGGACGGATGTATTGGATTTTCTCCAGTTTCTCCGCAGTCGGCGCCTGGCATGTTGCTTGCCCTTGTAGTAAGTTATATAAGAAGTTGCCTTTTGGGAAAGGCCTTTTTAGCAGTTCCTATAATCCAAACTGGCTCTCATACCATGTTAGAGTGAGGATCTTGGATAGGATAGGAAGTGCATTTGAAAGAGTTGGTAGCGGAAGTCTTGGTAGGAACCTTGATCATAGTGAATGTAAATGACAAAGTTAATTAATGGATAGAATACAAGCAAATAAATAGTCCTAACTAGCCATGTACTCTAAGGGGTACATTCCCTTATTATAACTGTTTTACAGGCAGAACTACAGTGACTCTGACTATTGCATTTCCAATCTTGTTACCGAGTCGCTGCTTGTAACCGTGCGTACGGTTACGCCTGTTGCCATTCCTCGATAGTAGGTCAATCGTCGGTCCAGATGGTCAACAGTCGCGACAGTTGACCCTTGCGAGTTTTGACCTTCCTGCCTTTAATATAGGCTGATCCGACATCTGCTGGTCGCGCTGCTTCGATAGTAGCTGATGCGATGTTGCTGCACCTTCGGGAATGCTTATGTGATTCCCTTCATACTCCAACATATCTTGCTTGTGTTCTAACGCTGTGCTATGCATGATACAAATTTGATGACGTGGGCAGGAACGGCGAAACGCCGCCTTCATGTAGACAAGCGTTCGTACGTTTGATTATATCCAACGTATGTGTGAATGGGGGCGGAAAAGTCACTCCGTGGTTGAAATAATGTGTGAATAATGATATCAGAAACTGATTTTAGAACCCCAATGGTTGGAGGGACAAAATGAAGGGTTTAGGTTTTTGTTTGTAAGAAAAACCCTTTTTCCTTACTGGGGTTTACTCAACCGCGTACAACCCCAACTTTCGGAAGTGCACGTTCGGCCGCTTTGCTTGCTGCCGAAGCAACCTCGCGTCGCCTTCGGTTTTCCTTTGCCCAACCTGCACTCAACCTCGTGTTCCCGAGGTTCCCGCCTAGCTAGGTTGCCTCGCTATATAATCGCATGCCCTTCATTGTATCGTCAGTTCATTGAGTCACAGCCTCGTTATTCGTTATTCCGCGCAACTCTGTTTGACAACTCATAACACCTGGTATCAGAGCTACTTTCCTAGTTCACCTCGCATTTCTAGGGTAGTTTAGAGGCACGGGTGTGATTGGTACGGTGGGCTGCAAAGCGGTTGGTTGCAAAGTTTGTTGCCCGACTCCGATAGCTTTTGCGCTTGCACTGTTGCCGGATAATCACGGGTACCCAGTTGCCTGTTAGACGTAGCTTGCGACTCATGGACCAGGCGGCATTAGATGCGTTGATGCAGCAAGTGGCGGAGATGTCGGCAAACATGAAGGCGTTAACGACAGAAGTGGAGAGACTACGTGAAGAAAACAACGAGCTACGCCAGGCGCGAGGTGAAGCGCGCCAGGAGTCGCCCGCTGAAGAAGGCGAGAGCACTGGTCAAGCGGTGAGCGGCAATCCGTTGGAGGAGCTCACACGCGGCTTCGAAGAAGAAGATAGGCAGCGAGCGGCGGCAGCGACAACAGTTGCAGTGACAACAATCAAGATAAAGCCTACGAGCCCGCCCCCGTTCAACCCTACTGACAAGAACACTACTGTTAAGGGGTGGTTGTTCGGCGTGGAGGTGTTCTTCACTGCAGCGAATGTTAACGACGACGCCACGCGTAATAATTCCGTGGTATCGCTTCTTCGAGGCTCGGCGCTTGAGTGGTGGCGACGAACCTTGGACACGGGGACCCCGACAGGTGTGACACATGCGGCAGACGGGACTTCGGACGCTGCTAATGGGAGGGCATCATCGATAATCGGTGTGGCCACAATTCGTACGTGGAAACAGTGGGAGCAGCTGATCAGGACAAACTGCCCTGACCCCGCACGTTGGGAAAATTCGCTCGCCATGCTGGAATTCGCGTTCAACAACGCTCCGTCAAGCATGACCAATCACTCCCCGTTCTTCTTGAATTACGGGATGGACCCGGTGGTACCTACAACGACTACACTTGACAACCCGGTCCCGAGGTCACAAACATTTGTGACAGAACTCCAAGAAATTCGCGAGAAGGCTGCGGACGCAATTCGCAAGGCGAATACCACTTCCCGCAAATACTCGGATCTCCTCCGACGGGAAATCGTCATGACAGCTGGGCAACTAGTGCTACTCGACACAAAGAACCTACATCTGCCCGGCCCATCGAAATTACGGCCACGTTTCTGTGGGCCTTTCAAGATCATCAAGATGGTGACACCTGTCACCGCGAAGCTGCTACTACCCGACGACTGGCGTATTCACGACGCCTTCCACGTCAGCTTACTTCGCAAGTTCGTGCCTGCCACGACAGACATCGCGCGCCAGAACGCCGTCCCGACAGCCCGACCTGTCCCGGAACCGACACTTGACCCGTCCAAGATTTTGGCGCATCGTGTTCGGCTCGACGCTTCTGGACGCCACGTGGATTTTCTAATCCGTTGGACTTTCTCACCAGTGAGGACGACACATGGGTGCCATCCGCCTCGCTTGAAGCTTCCCCGCTTCTTGGTGATTATCTCGCCCGCAAGCGAGCTGCGGATGTTGACCACCTTGCTTAAAAGGGGGGGGTAGTGTAAGGAAAAACCCTTTTTCCTTACTGGGGTTTACTCAACCGCGTACAACCCCAACTTTCGGAAGTGCACGTTCGGCCGCTTTGCTTGCTGCCGAAGCAACCTCGCGTCGCCTTCGGTTTTCCTTTGCCCAACCTGCACTCAACCTCGTGTTCCCGAGGTTCCCGCCTAGCTAGGTTGCCTCGCTATATAATCGCATGCCCTTCATTGTATCGTCAGTTCATTGAGTCACAGCCTCGTTATTCGTTATTCCGCGCAACTCTGTTTGACAACTCTATAACATTGTTGTTACAGTATATTTTTTTCCTCACGGGCAGTTTCATGTTCCAATGGAGATTTCAAGGCAATTGCATCTGCCCAGTTGTGTTTTCTGCTGATACAACACTCCAGATGGTGACATCTGCTAGTGATAGGCTCCTGGTCCAGAACGACCAAGTGTCATGTACCCCGTACGCAAGCTGTTGAGGCATGTTGAAATGCCTTGAGTTTCCAATATCCCAGCTATGTCGTTACATCTCACCGTGCAGTTCGTGTTCCTCCAGGTCAGGCCGTTTCATGTCACCTCATGCATGTCATGGATGACATGGGTTCCCTGCCCCACACTCACTCACGAGCCACCTGAGGACAATTCTCAAGGTTCCCACATGGGATGTACGATAGGGTTACCACCCGTTAGCGACCGTTGGCGAAAGGCGGTTTCTAGTTTTCGCGCACCACCATACCATAGGGCTGATGCGGAAGATGATACGACATTTCAGATCTGGATCTATGGCATCACATAACACACTACCTGCTAAGGCCATCATCCTCAGGTAGTCCTTAATCTCCTCCGGTTCCGTACAAATTTATCGCGTGTTACGCATGCACTTAATCCCTAAGCGGCGATTGCGGCGGATTTTCAGGCTGCGAAATTGCCAGTCCTGATTCCGTGCGATCCGGGAATCCCTAAGGCGGCCGTTAGGCGATGTCGCGGGACTTGCAATCCCGCCGGTTCTCCAACCGGTCGCATCGCAGCTCACGGCTACCCGTCTACACTGACGACGACGACGACGCGGCGTTCGAAGCATGGCTGCGGGAGCAGGAGCGGGAGGAGACGGGAGGGGGTAGCGGAAAAGGCGGTAAGACGGCTAAAACAGGAAAATTAGATGCAAAATCAAGCGAGAAAAGAGGCGGTGGTAAGGGAAAGGAGAGGCGATCAGAGACGGGGAAAGAAGACCCCTCCGCGTCTGCGCGAGCAGCAGCGGGGGGAAAGCGGGATGGCGCTGTGGCGGCCGCGGGGAAGGGTGAGGAGGCGGGGGGGAGCGGAAGTGCGGGGAAGGATGGGGGGAAGACGGGGAGAGGTGGAAAAGAGGCGATGGAGGGGGTGGAGGTGGGAGAGGAGCAAGGGGGGGATGAGGAGGCAGCTAAGGTGGCTGCTGACGTGTCAGTGGAGGAGGCTGAGGGGGATGCTGACGTGTCAGGGGAGGAAGCTGAGGTGGCTGCGGAGGTCGATGATGACGTGTGCGAGGTGTGCGGGGGTGACGGCGAGTTGCTGATGTGTGACGCGTGCCCTGCTGTGTACCATCTGCACTGCCTGCACCCGCCGCTCTCCCGCGTGCCTGAAGGAGCTTGGTTTTGCCCCAAATGCGTGAGTCAACATGCCGTGCGATTCGTGGGTAATATGTCATGCCATGCCATACATGTGTTTAGTGTAGAGTATATTTGATGCATGCCATGCCCTGCAGCCTACCATCTGCACTGCCTGCACCCTCCGCTCTCCCATGTGCCTGAAGGAGCCTGGTTCTGCCCCAAATGCGTGAGCCACACACACATTCCATGCCAGGTATGCTTAGTATAGAATACATGTGATGCGTGCCCTGCCCGGCTGTGTATCATCTCCCCTGAAGGCGCCTGGTTCTGTCCCAAATGCGCAAGTCACATGCCGTGCCATGCCATGCCATTCCATGTGTGTGTTCAGAGGGCGTGCGTAATTTTGTGAGCTGCATCACATGCCATGATATTTCATTCATGCCATGTCACGACACGCCATGCCATCACATGCCATGTCATGCTGTGCCATGCTGTGCCATGCCGTGCCGTGCCGTGCCGTGCCATGCCATGCCATGCCGTGCCGTGCCATGCCATCCCATGCCATGCCATGCCATCCCATGCCATGCCATCCCATGCCATGCCATCCCATGCCATGCCATCCCATGCCATGCCATCCCATGCCATGCCATGCCATGCCGTGCCATGCCGTGCCATGCCATCCCATGCCATCCCATGCCGTGCCATGCCGCGCCATGCGATGATGCTCTGTCATCATGTATTTAGATTGAGTACGTCAGGCCCAAGCCACAATCTCGCACTTTTTGCGATTGCTGCCCCCCTCCCCCCTCCTCCCCCCCCCCCCTCCTCTCTCGCTCTTCTGCCTCTCCTCCTGCAGGGCCATGACTGGTCAGCAGCGGAGCGGTTTTTGGGCGTGAGAGAGGTGGAGCAGCGAGGCGAGGGTGGGGGAGGTGCTGGGGAGGGGAGTGAGGGGACAGGAGAGGGGGGCATTGATGGTAAGAGGAGTGATGGTGGTAGGGGCGGTGATGGCAGGGATAGTGGAGGGCGGGGTGAGAGGAGGCGAGTGGAGGAGTATTTGATAAAGTGGAAAGACAAGTCCCACATCCACTGCACCTGGTACGTTTTTTTGAGGCTTCTCAAAGAATTTCAAGACTTTTGCCCCTTAAGAGGCGAGTGGAGGAGTATTTGATAAAGTTGAAAGATAAATCGCACATCCACTGCACCTGGTACGTTTTTTTTAGGCTTCTCGAAGAATTTCAAAACTTTTTTGAGGCTTCTCAAAGAGGCTAGTGGAGGAGTATTTGATGAAGTGGAAAGGTAAATCGCACATTCACTGCACGTGCTATGCTCTTGTTTTGCAATGACTGCAATGATCGAATGTTGGAACAAGCCCGGAATTCACTGCTCGTCGTATCCTCTCGTTCCACTTGTCTTCCCCCCCCCCCCCCCCTTCCCCCACTTTCTATCTCTCTCCCTCATACGCACTCCTTACCTCTGATTTAAATTTCTTCATTCCCATTCTCTCTCCTTTACACCCCCTGATCTCCCCCACACCCTGTTCTTCTCTCCCCCACACCCTGTTTTTCTCTCCCTCACACTCTGTTTTTCTCTCCCCCAGACCCTGTTTTTCTCTCCCTCACACTCTGTTTTTCTCTCCCCCACACCCTGTTTTTCTCTCCCTCACACTCTGTTTTTCTCTCCCTCACACTCCACTACTCATCACTGTTCGTACGCCTCTTTTCCTGCCACTTTGTGAATTGTCCATACGTCTCCATCAAATCTCTCCATTCCTCCACCTTTACCCCCTGAATCCCCTCAGGGTGGCAGCTACAACAGTGGATGCAGCAGCAAAGAGCCTCCCAGGGCTTAAAGCCAGGATGAGGAACTACCTGCAGCAACGGGCAGAAGCAGCAGCACAGAGCGCCATGCTTTCTCAATCCCCTCACCCTTCAATATCCCTCACTCTTTCCTTTCCCTCCCCTCCTTTCCCCTTGCATCCCCTCCCCCCTCTCACCCCCACCGCCCCCTCACCCCTTTTCCAGGGTGGCAGCTGCAACAGTGGATGCAGCGGCAAAGAGCTTGCCGGGACTTAAAGCCCGGATGAGGTACTACCTGCGACAGCGGGCAGAAGCAGCAGCACAGAGCGCGCTGTATGGGGATGGGGAGGAAGACCCGGAGGAGAGTGGAGCGGTGCCGGTGCTGCGACCTGATTGGCTGGTTGTGGAGCGCATCGTGAATGCCAAGTGAGTGATGATTGGGTTGCATTGCTGCGCTGTAATCACCTGTTATCACCTGTTATCATGCTCCTGTGAAATTCATGGAGATTTACTTATTCTGGTGCGGCTGGCGCCTCTAGCTGTTCGTCATGCCACCCATCCATGTACCTGATGATGATGAAATTCGAATGCTCTTTCATTAGATAAGCGTCCTCCATTAGATAAGCGTGAAATTCCCTATTTGCCTGACCCATTTTCTGCTCTGCTCCTTCTCTTCCCTGGCTGCTGCTATTTCTCCAGGAAGAACCGCAAGGGGCAGCAGGAGTACCTAGTTAAGTGGCGGGAGTTGGGGTACGAAGAGGCCACCTGGGAGACAGAGGAGGATATGCGGAGCAAAGGAAGAGGGCCGGCCAGTGGCACGGAGCAAGTGCCACAGGAGGGGCTGAATGATGGGGCAAAGGATGGGGCGAAGGATGGGAAGAAGGCTGCGGATGAGGGAAAGAAAGGATCAGGAGGAGATGGGAAAGGGAAGAAGGGTATGAAAAAAGGAGGCTGGGAAGAGAGTGGTGCAGCAGTTGTAGAGGGTTTCGAGGAGGCTGTTAAGGAGTATGAGGAGATGATGGCGAGAGGACCCAAGGCAGTGGCGTGGGGACTAGTGGGCGGGGGAGGGGGAGGGGATAAGGAGGCAGAGAGGGGAGTGCAGAAGAAGAAGCGAATGGAGTTCAAGGAAACACCCTCCTTTTTGAAAGGTTGGTACTTTTGCATGCTAGACCGAGGCGAAGCATGTTATATGACTGTTAAATACAACTGTTAAGCATGCATCGTAACACACCTGTTTGACACCAACATTGCCTGTCTTTTGAGTCGACTCGCAAGCTGTCTTTTGAGTCGACTCACAAGCTGTCTTTTGAGTCGACTCACAAGCTGTCTTCTAAGTCTACTCGCAAGCTGTCTTCTGGGTCGACTTAAAAGTCAAAACACACTTGCTGGACACTACCATTGCCTGTCCCTTGAGTCGACTCACAAGTCTTCTTGGTTGCCCTTCCTTCCCATCCCTGTTGTGTTTCTTGCTCACCCTTGGTCCCCGTCCTGCTCTTTTTCTCCTGCTTTAACCCCATTTTCTTCCACTCAATCTGCAACTGTCCAGGATCGCTGCATGCAGCTAACTCACATCCTGCTTTTACCTCCCATGCCATTCTCTCGCTTTTATCTAAAACGTCTTGGTTCGCTGCACCCACATGCATACCGCTATCTATCAACCCCCATGTCTTTCTCTCGTCTCCAAACTGTCCAGTCCAGGTTCGCTGCACCCATATATATGCTGCTCTCTCAAACCCCCCAAATGCTTCAACCACTTTGAAACCGAATCTGTCCAGGTACGCTGCACCCGTACCAGCTGGAGGGGCTCAACTGGCTGCGATTTGCCTGGCAGCAGAAGCAGCACGTGATTCTCGCAGACGAGATGGGTCTGGGTGAGTGAGTCACTTAAGGGGTGAGTGAGTCATGTGGGGTGGGTGAGTCATGTGGGGTGGGCGAGTCATGTGGGGTGGATTGAGGGTGGATTTATGATGTCTGAGGCCTTGCAAGGTGCTGTGCATGCAACGTCCTTCCTGGCTTCCCCTCAACCACCTGCTGCCTTTTCTTTTCCGGCATCCCTCGTCCCTCTCTTGCCCACAACAGGCAAGACGGTGCAGGCGATCTCCTTCCTCGCATCACTGCACGACGAGAGGGCCACACCTCTCCCCCACATGGTGGTCGTGCCGCTCTCCACCCTGCGCAACTGGCAGCGTGAATTCGACACCTGGGCACCTCACTTGCGAGTGGTGAGTTCTCAATCCACTCCTCAGCGTAGCATCTGCTGCCTCTCTCTTCTCCCTCACATGGTGGTGGTGCCGCTCTCCACTCTCCGCAACTGGCAGCGCGAATTCGCCACCTGGGCGCCCCACCTGTGCGTGGTGAGTGCATCCACATGCTCTCTTGACCACCTCTGTACCACATGCTCTCTTAACCACCTCTGTACCACATGCTCCCTTGACCACCTCTGTACCACATGCTCCCTTGACCACCTCTGTACCACATGCTCCCTTGACCACCTCTGTACCACATGCTCCCTTGACCACCTCTGTACCACATGCTCCCTTGACCACCTCTGTACCACATGCTCCCTTGACCACCTCTGTACCACATGTGAGAATCCCATAGTTGGGATTAGGGGGTGAACTCAAGAGTTGGTATATTGATAAAGAAGAGCAGTACAAATAGGGAATGGGAAGAGTGACCAAAATCAGAGTTACCCCACACCATTATTGGTTGACCAATGTGGTGAGGGTCCAGCCCAATAATTGAGGTTGAGTCAATTATTGGAGGGGCCAAACATTGGAGGGGTTGGCCACCAATGTTGGCTCCCCAACAATAATGGTCGCCTGGGTTGTGGAAACCCAACCAAAAGTTGGGAGACCACCTCAATGTGTACACCCATGATTTGGGTGTACACTATTAGTTCTAGCCATATACATGCTATATTCTAACACAACCCCTTAGCATGAGAATGGCTAGACCAAACAACCCCTGAAGCGAGGACCCGGTAATAGATGCGGCGAATGACGCGGCATGCCAGCTGAAGGTGCTGTGGCGGTGAGGTCGCACACCAGCAGGGAGGGGGGGGCTGCTGCAGGTGAGGAAGCAAGCCAGCCGAAGGTGCTGCGGCGGTGAGGTCGCACACCAGCAGGGAGGGGGGGCTGCTGCAGGTGAGGAAGCAAGCCAGCCGAAGGTGCTGTGGCGGTGAGGTCGCACACCAGCAGGGAGGGGGGGGCTGCTGCAGGTGAGGAAGCAAGCCAGCCGAACGTGCTGTGGCGGTGAGGTCGCACACCAGCAGGGAGGGGGGGGGGGCTGCTGCAGGTGAGGAAGCAAGCCAGCCGAAGGTGCTGTGGCGGTGAGGTTGCACACCAGCAGGGAGGGGGGGGGGCTGCTGCAGGTGAGGAAGCAAGCCAGCCGAAGGTGCTGTGGCGGTGAGGTCGCACACCAGCAGGGAGGGGGGGCTGCTGCAGGTGAGGAAGCAAGCCAGCCGAAGGTGCTGTGGCGGTGAGGTCGCACACCAGCAGGGAGGGGGGGGCTGCTGCAGGTGAGGAAGCAAGCCAGCCGAAGGTGCTGTGGCGGTGAGGTCGCACACCAGCAGGGAGGGGGGGGGCTGCTGCAGGTGAGGAAGCAAGCCAGCCGAAGGTGCTGTGGCGGTGAGGTCGCACACCAGCAGGGAGGGGGGGGGCTGCTGCAGGTGAGGAAGCAAGCCAGCCGAAGGTGCTGTGGCGGTGAGGTCGCACACCAGCAGGGAGGGGGGGCTGCTGCAGGTGAGGAAGCAAGCCAGCCGAAGGTGCTGTGGCGGTGAGGTCGCACACCAGCAGGGAGGGGGGGCTGCTGCAGGTGAGGAAGCAAGCCAGCCGAAGGTGCTGTGGCAGTGAGGTCGCACACCAGCAGGGAGGGGGGGGGCTGCTACAGGTGAGGAAGCAAGCCAGCCGAAGGTGCTGTGGCGGTGAGGTCGCACACCAGCAGGGAGGGGGGGGGCTGCTGCAGGTGAGGAAGCAAGCCAGCCGAAGGTGCTGTGGCGGTGAGGTCGCACACCAGCAGGGAGGGGGGGCTGCTGCAGGTGAGGAAGCAAGCCAGCCGAAGGTGCTGTGGCGGTGAGGTCGCACACCAGCAGGGAGGGGGGGGCTGCTACAGGTGAGGAAGCAAGCCAGCCGAAGGTGCTGTGGCGGTGAGGTCGCACACCAGCAGGGAGGGGGGGGGCTGCTGCAGGTGAGGAAGCAAGCCAGCCGAAGGTGCTGTGGCGGTGAGGTCGCACACCAGCAGGGAGGGGGGGGCTGCTGCAGGTGAGGAAGCAAGCCAGCCGAAGGTGCTGTGGCGGTGAGGTCGCACACCAGCAGGGAGGGGGGGCTGCTGCAGGTGAGGAAGCAAGCCAGCCGAAGGTGCTGTGGCGGTGAGGTCGCACACCAGCAGGGAGGGGGGGGCTGCTACAGGTGAGGAAGCAAGCCAGCCGAAGGTGCTGTGGCGGTGAGGTCGCACACCAGCAGGGAGGGGGGGGCTGCTGCAGGTGAGGAAGCAAGCCAGCCGAAGGTGCTGTGGCGGTGAGGTCGCACACCAGCAGGGAGGGGGGGGCTGCTGCAGGTGAGGAAGCAAGCCAGCCGAAGGTGCTGTGGCGGTGAGGTCGCACACCAGCAGGGAGGGGGGGGCTGCTGCAGGTGAGGAAGCAAGCCAGCCGAAGGTGCTGTGGCGGTGAGGTCGCACACCAGCAGGGAGGGGGGGCTGCTGCAGGTGAGGAAGCAAGCCAGCCGAAGGTGCTGTGGCGGTGAGGTCGCACACCAGCAGGGAGGGGGGGCTGCTGCAGGTGAGGAAGCAAGCCAGCCGAAGGTGCTGTGGCGGTGAGGTCGCACACCAGCAGGGAGGGGGGGGCTGCTGCAGGTGAGGAAGCAAGCCAGCCGAAGGTGCTGTGGCGGTGAGGTCGCACACCAGCAGGGAGGGGGGGGCTGCAGGTGGCGAAGGGAGACGGCGGCGGCAGCGGGACGTGGCAGAGCAGGCCACTACGAGGTGGGGTAGGAAGCGTTGGCGACCACGAGATGGCAGGGCGGTGAAATGGCCGTGGCAGCGGGAGAGCCGCGGCGGCGAAGGGAGGAGGGCTGGATGGCCCGAAGGAGGAGGAAGCGAGGGGGAAGGGGGAGGAGGGCTGGATGGCCCGAAGGAGGAGGAAGCGAGGGGGAAGGGGGAGGAGGGCTGGATGGCCCGAAGGAGGAGGAAGCGAGGGGGAAGGGGGAGGAGGGCTGGATGGCCCGAAGGAGGAGGAAGCGAGGGGGAAGGGGGAGGAGGGCTGGATGGCCCGAAGGAGGAGGAAGCGAGGGGGAAGGGGGAGGAAGGCTGGATGGCCCGAAGGAGGAGGAAGCGAGGGGGAAGGGGGAGGAGGGCTGGATGGCCCGAAGGAGGAGGAAGCGAGGGGGAAGGGGGAGGAGGGCTGGATGGCCCGAAGGAGGAGGAAGCGAGGGGGAAGGGGGAGGAAGGCTGGATGGCCCGAAGGAGGAGGAAGCGAGGGGGAAGGGGGAGGAGGGCTGGATGGCCCGAAGGAGGAGGAAGCGAGGGGGAAGGGGGAGGAAGGCTGGATGGCCCGAAGGAGGAGGAAGCGAGGGGAGGTGGGTTGGATGGCCCTCAGAAGGGGGGCGGAAGCGTGGTGACGATGCGAATGAATGCGCTGACGGGCGAAATGCCCTCGGGAGCGGGATTGACAGGCGGAATACCCTTGGGAGCGGGATTGAGGGTCGAAATGCCCTCGGGAGCGGGATTGACGGGCGGAATGCCCTCGGAAGCGGAATCGACGGGCGAAGTGGTAGGCGCGTTCGTCGCGCGGGTCGGCGCGTACAAGCGCCTCAAAAGCCACGGGGAAAAGCCTGAGGGAGGGGAGCAGGCTGATGGGGCAAAGACCATTAAGCTGGCAAGAGGCCGAGGATCTCCTAGGGAGGGAGAAGGTGGCGTTAGCCAAAATAGCTCTATACCATGTGAGAATCCCATAGTTGGGATTAGGGGGTGAACTCAAGAGTTGGTATATTGATAAAGAAGAGCAGTACAAATAGGGAATGGGAAGAGTGACCAAAATCAGAGTTACCCCACACCATTATTGGTTGACCAATGTGGTGAGGGTCCAGCCCAATAATTGAGGTTGAGTCAATTATTGGAGGGGCCAAACATTGGAGGGGTTGGCCACCAATGTTGGCTCCCCAACAATAATGGTCGCCTGGGTTGTGGAAACCCAACCAAAAGTTGGGAGACCACCTCAATGTGTACACCCATGATTTGGGTGTACACTATTAGTTCTAGCCATATACATGCTATATTCTAACACCACATGCTCTCTTGCCTTGCCGTGTGGCAGTTGCCACGTTGTCCCTTCATGTGCATGTGTGGTGCGGCTCGTCCCTCCCTCCCTCCCTCCCTCCCTCCCTCTCTATCGGCCACCCTTGCTCCTCCTCTCCCTATCCCTCTTCTCCCCTGGCTTACCCCAACATGATCATGCTCCTGCTCTCTTCCTTGCTCACGCACATGTGGTGTGTGGTGCCCAACTGTGCACTTGTATGTGTCCATGTGTGTATGCATGTGGGCATGCAGGTGATGTATGTGGGCACAGCGGCAGCAAGAGCATTGATCCGGGAACACGAGTTCTTCTTCCCCTCCTCCTACACGCCTCCCCCTCCTCCTTCATCCAAGGACAAAGGAGCGCAAGGGAAGCAGGGGAAAGGCGGGAAAACAGGGAAGGGTGGCGCGGGAGGGAAGGGTGGACAGAACACAAAGCGTGGAGAGAAGGGGAAAGGTGGGACACTCGGGAGGCAGGTGCAACGAGGGCCACAGCGGGCCAAGAGGAAACGAAAGAGTGGGAGGATGGTTGTGTCTTCTGAGTCTGAGGAATCGGAGGAAAACGAAGAGTCCTCTGGGGACCCTACTGGGGAGAGCGAGGATGAGGTGGAAGAGGTGAAAGTGTTGGCAGATAAGGAGAGAAGAGACGAGGAGGAGGAGGAAGAGGAAGAGGAGGAGGAGGAGGGGGAAGAGGAAGAGGAGGAGGATGAGCAGGCTGGCAAGGGTAGACGCAGGCAGATTGGGACCAGGGCTTCGTCTCGTGTCACGAGAATGCAAGATAGGGATGCGAGGAGCAGGGGTGTAATGAGAAGCGACAGTAAAGAGAGGCATGTTAAGGGTACTGAAAGGGGTAGTTCCAGAGAAACGAGGGGCGCGAAAGATCGAGGGAAGAAGAGAGGAAGGGCGATGAAGAAGCAGCAGCAGAATCAGCAGCACAAGGGGCGGAAGCGGCGGAAGGGAGGGTCCGCTTTGTCATCGGATGAGTCTTCAGATGAGGATGATGAGGAGTATGTGGTGGTGTCCGAGGAGGGGAGTGAGGAGGAGGGGAGTGAGGAGGAGGGGAGTGAGAAGGAAGTGAGTGAGGAGGAGGAGAGTGAGGAGGAGGAGGGGAGTGAGGACGAAGAGGAAGAGGAGGAAGAAGAAGACGAGGAGGAAATGCCACTGAGCAAGCGGGCAAGGGTCAGGCGCAGTGGGAAAGGCACTCGTCGTGGAAAGGGCAAGCCAGGCATCGCATCAAAAGGCAGAAGCAAGGGAGGGAGCAGCAGCAGCAGGCGGGGGGGCAGCAAAGGCGTCCCCCCTGGTGGGAGCATGCAGCAGCAGCAGCAGCAGCAGCAACTGTCCCGGCAGGAGAGGGTGCGGTTTGATGTGGTGCTGACGTCGTATGAGGCGGTGAACAGTGACTCGCAGCAGCTGCGGCAGGTGCAGTGGGGGTGCCTGGTGGTGGACGAGGGGCACCGGCTGAAGAACAAGGAGAGCAAGCTGTTTGGCACTCTGCAGAGTTACAATTCCCTGCACCGCCTGCTGCTTACTGGGACACCGCTGCAGGTGAGATGCTGCAGGTGAGATGCTGCAGGTGAAGTGTTGCATCAGGCGAGGTCATGAAAGTTGGCCAAAGAGAGGGTGGTGTTGGTGCGGTGGGGGGTGCTTGGTGGTGGACGAGGGGCACCGGCTGAAGAACAAGGAGAGCAAGCTGTTTGGCACGCTGCAGAGCTACTCCTCCCTGCACCGCCTGCTGCTCACCAGCACTCCCCTGCAGGTAATGGCTTGTGCAGTGCAGTGCAGTGCAATGCCTGGCAGAACATCCGGGACGAGCTTTTCATCCTCATGCCCTTTTTGTTTCCTCTTATGCCTTGCACCCCCAAAGTCTGCTACTGCTCTCTCCTCGCAGAACATCGTTTTCTGGGACGAGCACTTTATCTTAATGCACTTCCTGTCCCTCCCCCCTTCTGCCCTCTCCCTTTGCCTTGCGCCTCCCCTACTATTCCCTGTATCATGCACCTCACCGCACCTCCGTTTTTCCCTTGTTGCCCCCTGCTGCAGAACAACCTGGACGAGCTGTTCATTCTCATGCACTTCCTGGATGCTGATAAGGTGAGGGATGGAATGCGGTGAGGTGAGGTGGAGTGAGGTGAGATGGAGTTAGGTGAGGTGAGGTGAGGTGAGATGAGGTGAGGTGAGGTGTGGCGAGGTGAGGGGAAGAGCATGACCAACTAAATGGGGAACTCCTGATTGCTCCACCTTATGTGTGGCGAGCTCTCAATTCCACTGCACTTCCTCAAAGCAGAGAAGGTGAGGGAAGGAGTTAGGGAGTTGAGGCGAGAGGCTGAGCGTTGGCGAGGTGATGGGACGGAGTAAAAGCGTTGAAAGAGGTGAGAGAGGTGAAGGCGAGGGTAGGGAAGGAAAGAGCACAGTGCCCCCCCTTGTGCCAAGCTCTCCTCAATTTCGTGCCTTTCTAAATGCTGCTGAAGCACAATGTAGGGGGTAGCAGCGGGGTGAGTGAGTGAGGTGAACGATATGAGTATGGCCCCAGTAAGATGTCCCCCCTGGCATTGGCGGCAGGTAAGATTCATCAATAAATTTCTTGCGTTCCCTTAGAGAAAAGCGGCACCTTGGATCTCATACTTCTTGTGCCTACCGCCATTTTTACCTCCTCCCCTTGTCCTGTGTCCTCCCGTGGTAACCCTTCCGACGTTCTGTATTGGCCCCCTGGTGCCTTTGTCCTATCTCCCTCGGCAGTTTGCGAGTCTCTCCTTTCTGTCCCAACCCCCTATTGCCCTTGCTCCTTCCTTGCTTCCCCCCCGTTGCCCGTGCATGTGTGCCCCATTGCTCCTGGCAGGTTGCGAGTTTGGAGGGGTTTCAGGGCGAGTTCCAGCAGCTAGGGCAGGAGGAGCAGGTGGCACCTCCAATCATACCACCTTGTGTCCCCCCTGTTTACCTCGTGCGTACCTGGTGCCTTTGCACCCATCTTGCTGGCAGTTTGCGATTCTGGAAGGCTTTCAGGGCGAGTTCCAGCAGCTGGGGCAGGAGGAGCAGGTGGCACCTCCAATCATACCACCTTGTGTCCCCCCTGTTTACCTCGTGCGTACCTGGTGCCTTTGCACCCATCTTGCTGGCAGTTTGCGAGTCTGGAAGGCTTTCAGGGCGAGTTCCAGCAGCTGGGGCAGGAGGAGCAGGTGGCGCCTCCAATCATACCACCTTGTGTCCCCCCTGTTTACCTCGTGCGTACCTGGTGCCTTTGCACCCATCTTGCTGGCAGTTTGCGAGTCTGGAAGGCTTTCAGGGCGAGTTCCAGCAGCTGGGGCAGGAGGAGCAGGTGGCCAAGCTGCACCACCTGCTCGCGCCACATCTGCTCAGGAGTAAGCTATCTCTGCACCACGGCACGCACATGTGAACCGAAACCCCAGCATCAAACCTTTGACCTTGAACCCTCGACGCTGAAGCTCTTGTTCTTCGCGTTAGGCATTTCCACTGCTTAGCTCAGATCTTCTCTGCTATAGTCTCAATTCTAAGCTCCGAACTCAAAGCGCCAATCTTCCGATCGAAAGCCCTGGGTTCCAAGGCTGCTTCTGTGAAGCAACTCTTTCATCCCTCCTAGGTACCAGGGAATGGATGGGTGTGCATTGTCATTCCTCCCCCACCCTATCCTTTAGGTTGAAGGTCGTGTTGTAGCAGATGCCGTTCAAGAAAGGAGGAGCAGATTGTGCAACTTACACCCTCTCCACCCACCTTGTGTTGCACTCCTTTTTGTACCTCCCCCTTCCCCCTCCCTCCACCCAAACCCATTGTTTCCGCCCAGGGCTGAAGAAGGACGTGATGAAGCAGATGCCGAGAAGATTCTGCAGTGAACCTGACACCCCCATTTCCCTCGCTCCTCCACCACCCACTCTCCCCCTTCCCCAGGGCTGAAGAAGGACGTGTTGAAGCAGATGCCGCCCAAGAAGGAGCAGATCCTGCGGGTGGACTTGGCGCCACTTCAGCGGTCGCTGTACCGTGCTGTGCTCACCCGCAACTACCAGGCGCTCACCAAGGCGTCTGGGCAGCAGGTAGGTAGGCTGTTAAGCCGTAAGGTGCATTTTAATTCAGGCATGCAGGAACCAAACCATTACCTGCTGATCGCTGTACCGTGCCGTGTTCACCCGCAACTCAACTACCAGGCGCTCACCAAGGCATCGGGGCAGCAGGTACGTTCTACACATAGATTGCCCATTACCTATGCCCATTACCTATGCCCCCCTTATCGCTTACTGCATGACTCGCTGCTCACCCGCAACTACCAGGCTCTCACCAAGGCGTCAGGACAGCAGGTGCGTTGTGCACACAGGGAATGCGTCAGTGTGGGTGCCTCAAAAGTCTGTTCTGTCACTCTCCGCACTTTTGAGGCGCCTCAAAAGTCTGTTCTGTCACTCTCCGCACTTTTGAGGCGCCTCAAAAGTCTGTTCTGTCACTCTCCGCACTTTTGAGGCGCCTCAAAAGTCTGTTCTGTCACTCTCCGCACTTTTGAGGCGCCTCAAAAGTCTGTTCTGTCACTCTCCGCACTTTTGAGGCGCCTCAAAAGTCTGTTCTGTCACTCTCCGCACTTTTGAGGCGCCTCAAAAGTCTGTTCTGTCACTCTCCGCACTTTTGAGGCGCCTCAAAAGTCTGTTCTGTCACTCTCCGCACTTTTGAGGCGCCTCAAAAGTCTGTTCTGTCACTCTCCGCACTTTTGAGGCGCCTCAAAAGTCTGTTCTGTCACTCTCCGCACTTTTGAGGCGCCTCAAAAGTCTGTTCTGTCACTCTCCGCACTTTTGAGGCGCCTCAAAAGTCTGTTCTGTCACTCTCCGCACTTTTGAGGCGCCTCAAAAGTCTGTTCTGTCACTCTCCGCACTTTTGAGGCGCCTCAAAAGTCTGTTCTGTCACTCTCCGCACTTTTGAGGCGCCTCAAAAGTCTGTTCTGTCACTCTCCGCACTTTTGAGGCGCCTCAAAAGTCTGTT